TTTTAGGTTTTTTAATTAATTTTTTTTCAACACTAACCTTTTTTTATTAATTAAAATTAATGAGGTTTTAGGTTTTTTAATTAACTTTTTTTTTCAAAATTAACTTTTTTTAATTAAAATTAATTAGGTTTTAGGTTTTTTAATTAACTTTTTTTCAAAATTAACATTTTTTTATTAATTAAAATTAATTAGGTATTTAGGTTTGTTTAATTAATTATCATAAATTATTTTTTCATTAAAAAAATCACCAAAATATTTTCTTTGCTATTTTCATCTTATTTTTATTTTCCTAGATAAAGTGTATAGGGCGTGTTCAACTATAATAGCGTAGCTTTATTTTTTCCGCATTTTTCTATTATGTAATTGCTCCTAGTATGTAATAGTTGTAGATTTTTATTTTCTGCACTTCACTATTATGTAACTTCCCCAAAGCTCTGTAATAGTCTAAGTTTACATTTCCACCTTTACCTTCTGCTACTCTATTTTATACAATTGTTAGTAATTAGGGTTTGTATGGCAAGATAAAAATGAACGATAGAAAACCCTAATTGCAAGACTTAATAACTGAAATGAACACACTTGCACACTCACATCTTTAGGGTAACCTCTTTTCGTTACCTTTCAGAATAAAGGTTATGTCCCTCGAACGTAGAGATGCTTTAGCAAAGACCCTCGAATAAAAGATCATACTCCCTCGACGACCCTTTGAAGTTGCCTATGAATAACATGATCTAGTCCCTTACGAAACTATAAAGCATCCTTATAAGTTGCCTTTGATGACCGTATGATGACCCTTTGCTCGTCCCTTCACATCCAATAGATAGGGCTACCTACCAACTTATGGTACAGATAGCACTATCTCTAAAGGAGGAGGAAAATAACAACAACGGCCTTTAGTGGGTAGGATACTTTTAATCGCTTGCTCAGAAAATTTTCTCAAAATATTTTTCACACATCACTTTCAAACAAATATTCTCAAAACACTTTGTACGTATTTTTGAGGACCAATACAAGAATCATTACAAAGTTCGCCTTACATTGGCTCTACAAAAATATTTTCAAATCACACGCACAAAGCAAATTTCAAAAGTGAGCTAGCGATTAAGAGCCCATAGATAACTACGGATGAAAATGGTGCTAACACCTTCCCTTTTCATAACTTACCCCCCGAACTCAAAATCTTCAGGGTCTTTCCTGTTCTTTTCACTCTTTCCTTATTGGATAAAAGAAAAGTCGGTGGCGACTCTTGCTATCCTTAATATTTGCGATAAAACACAAAATAAGTCAGTTATCCCACCGTATTACACACTGGAAGCTATCGTAACACCCTAAACCCTAACATGTCATTTATAAAATAATAAGAGTATTTCTCTCAAAAGTGTGCCACATTTTTCTCAAATAAAACATCTTCCTCAAGTTATATTTAACATTGGCAAAAAATTAAACAATTACAAACACCACTTCATGGTCTCATAAAATGGAAATTATTTTAACTCATAAAACACTAGTTTAGATAAACTCAACACCTCGCAGAATGAAACAAGCAAACGATCCCAACTCAAGTGTTACAGTATCAGAGTGACACAAGGTAACTAAACAACACAAAAAATAATAAGCGAATAAGGCCACTAGCCATCTTCCATAAAAGCAGCTGGAAGTTCAAAGAAACCCAAGAAATTGGGGGTCTTAATTGGGTTTCTAGTTTTAAATTGTTTTTGTGTTAACCCAAAGACAAACAACACAAAGCTAATAATGATAAAAAAAAACACAAGAGAGTTTATCTTGGTTCACCGTTAACTAGATTACTTCCAGTCCACCCCCAAAGAAAAACAACATTGTGTTATTGTAGTTGTCATATTGGTTGAACCAGTTGTTCCAACACTTGTCCCCTTAGGAACAAAATTTTAGTGGATATCCACATAGAGAACCTGCTCCATTATTTTCTCTATCTTAGATCAATTGAAAAACCCGAAAAGGAGTTTCCATCTCCCAATCTAAATTCAAAGCCATCTTTAAGAGCAGAGAGAGATTTCATAATTGAATTCCAAGTTACTTATCCAGATTTCTTTTTCATATTAAGGAACATTTCTTCACTAATGTACTTATACTTCAAACTTGAACCCATAGAGAATCACAACCCCGGTGGAAACCTCAAACCAACTTACCCAACATAGAAGTATGAGCCTCTCTTGCTTTTCGGAACCCAAGACCACCTAGTTTCTTAGGGCTTATTGATTTTATTCCAACCAACAAGATGCACACCAGAGTTTGAATTACCTTTTCACAAAAAAAATTTAGTCATCATATCAATAAAATCACAAGTTGGTTAAGGTAGCCAAGACACTTGCATATAATAATTTGGGATGGAGTTAAGGACAAACCTAACCAGAGTCAAATGACCAACCTTGTTTAATAATTTATGTTTCCAAGGTGTTAGCCTCTAACTGATTTTCTCCTCTATGAACTCAAAGTCCTTGCATTGAAGACAACCATACAACATAGGGAAACCCAAGTATTTCACTAGATTAAGAGTTTACTTGATACCTATACTGAAGACAATTAGATCAAATTTACTCCTCTTAGTGGTAGCTCAGAAGAAAACCTTTGATTTTACAATATTCACTTTAAGGTCAGACAACATGGAAAAACGATTCAAGAAATAAAAAATAATCCCTACCTGGGAGTTAGAAACCTTTACAAAAGGAAGAACATCATCTACAAAAAGTAAATGCGATATAGGGGGTTCATTACGAAATAAACTGATAAGTTTCCAATGACCTTTATCTTCCTTGATTGTTGTTTGTGACAAGAATTCCATGAAAATATTAAATATAGGGTGAAAGAGGGTCACCTTGTCGTAATCCTCTAGCCGGAAAAAAATTTGGTAGCAGTATCCCATTCCAAAGAATAGAATATAAGAGATAGTTACACAATGCATGACCAATTTTATAGTAATGGAAGGAAACTCATTTCGCTTCAAACAAAAATTCAAGAAATCTCAATTAACATGATCATAGGCCTTTTCAAGATCTATTTTAAATATCGTGTCAATTTTTTCTTTTTAGATTTATGCATAGAATGAATTGCTTCTTGGAGGATAATGGGAGAGTGAATTCTCTCCAATGACATATGTGTGTAATGGAATCTCAACCACATGATCAAATTAAAATATAAAAAGACTTAAATAGTATGTTGGTCCCTCTAAGTTAGCATATTTTTGGTTTTAATCCCTAATTTGTTTTTTTAAATAGTCCATGAATGTTAAAATGTTTATGGTTTTAGTCCTTAAAGTTAAAATCCGTAGGAAAATTCGTAGAAAAATCTGCAGGCACCCTGCAGATTTTCCTGCGGATTTTGAATTTAAGGACTAAAACCAAAAAGATTTAACATTTAAGGACTATTTAAAAAAACAGATTAAGGACTTAAAACAAAAACACGCTAACTTACAGGGACCAACATATTATTTAAGCCATATAAAAATATAAAATTTCAAGGGTATGGATGGACACTACTCTCCCTCCAGTCAAATTCACACTTGATTGAATCATTTTTCGGATAATGGCATTGTCAGTTGTCCGTTTGTCAGATAAAAACTACTCTAGAAGGGTCCAACTATCTGATTTAGATAAGGACGCAATATGTTAACCATAATCTTCGTAATAAACTTGTAAATAGTGGTACACAAGCTAATGGGTCTGAATTCCTTAAAATTTAAGAGGCAGTCTACCTTAAGAATTAATGCGATAAGAGTATTAGAAATAAAGGAATGAAAGCTAGATGTCACAAAACATCTAATATAAGTTAGACAACATCATCTCCAACTATATGCCAAAATTGTTTAAAGAAAATATCCTGGAATCCATCAGAGTCATACACCTTGAAAGGATGCATTTGATTCAATACATAAGTAACTTCTTCCCTTGTCACCTGTTGAGTTACACCCATACTAGCGAGAAGTATAGGAGATGTAGGAAAGAAAAGACCTTTAAATAAAATCAATGTTTCTTTCCTGAGAATAGGGTCATCATTACACCAACTACCATTAGGAAGATGAATGATATGGGCTTTATTTCTCTTCCGCCTAATTAACGTTTTGGTATAAAATTTGGTGTTACAATCTCTCAGTTTAATTCAATCATCTATAGCCTTTTGATACCAACAAATCTCCTCTTGTGCAAGGATCTCATCATATTCTTGTTGAAGCTCCTCTTGGAGATAAACTAGTCTTGTTGAATCTATTATCTCTAAAGAGCGTTGGATACCTCTGAGTCTCTTCTCAATGTTATGTTTCTGTTTGTTGATATTGCCCTTTTTTATTAAAAAGGATAGAATCGTGTTGCATAATTTAGAGACAAGTTACAAGGTCGTTTAGAGATTTCGGCCAAATAATTTGGACTATATTAAAATATTCTAGATGAGTGATCCAAACTGCCTCAAACTTAAAAGGATGCAACCCGTAGTTCTGAAGGGGAAAACCACACCTAAGAAAAATGGAGTTGTGATCGAATGAAATTTACGGAGAAAATATTAATTTAAAAATTTAATTTTACTTAATAGCATATTGAATTTAAGATGATTTTAAGTTATAATAAATTTAATTCTATTCTAAAAATAAATTTAGATTACATTTCACTCTAAAAATTAGTTAAAAGTTACAAATATTAATTTATGTTAGATTCAATTCAAAAACCAATATCAAACTAATCAAGACTCGAAATCAATTTTACATCTCTAGTGTAAACCAAAGATCATTTCAAATGAACTCTCCAAAATTAATTAAATAACTTGCCTACCCCATTAGTTTATAAACTCATGGAACTTTTGTGTATTGTGTATATTGGTGTTTTTTTTTGCATGTGGTCAAAGTCCAAGCAAGCTGTTATGAAACAGTGTACTATGAAAAAGACATGCAAGTCTCATTCACTTCAACTATCAAAATCTCATGATTGTCTTTTGTCCTTAACCATAACAAACTCACGAGAAACAAATGATCCTTCACCATGTTATGCTATATACACATACAAACCCAACAAAGTTTCAACACAAAAAACACAAACATGGGTGAAATTTGGGGTGTAATTGGTTCAAAGCTTGCAAGTATTTTGTTCATGTGGGCTATGGTTCAAAGGTATTGTCCTCATCAAATCCATGCCCTGATAGAAAAATTCTCACAAAAATTAGCCAACTTTTTTTACCCTTATGTTGAGGTTAAATTCTTTGAGTACATTGGTGATTACTATAGAACCAATGAAGCTTTTACTTTCATTGAATACTACTTACAATCCAAACCAACCAACCAAGCTAAGAAACTCCGAGGTGAATCTCTGAGAAAGTCTTTGGTTCTCAAAATGGATGAAAGTCAAGAGTTTCATGATGAGTTTGAAGGGATTAACGTTGTTTGGAGCTTAAGAAAGATTGTTCCAAACACCAAATCTGTTTCATTCTATCCAGCTGATGAGAAAAGGTATTACCTTCTAACCTTTCATCGCGGAAACCGCGATTTGGTCTCTGAAACTTACCTTAACCATGTCCTTGAACAAGGTAAGGACATTGGTTTGAGTAAGAGACAGAGAAAGCTTTACACAAATTGCACTAGTGGTGACTCTGATATGAGAGGTAAATGGAGTCATGTGATTTTCGACCATCCATCGTCTTTCGAAACGATTGCGATGGATGGTAAGAAAAAGAAAGAGATTGTTGATGATCTTGTTACGTTTAGTAAAGGTAAGGACTATTATGCAAGAATTGGTAAGCCTTGGAAGAGAGGCTATTTGCTATATGGTCCTCCAGGAACTGGAAAATCGTCACTAGTTGCTGCTATTGCTAATTTCTTGAAGTATGATATATATGATATTGAGTTAACTAATGTGAAAACAAATGCTGAGTTAAGGAAGCTTTTGATCGGGATCACGAGTAAGTCGGTTGTTGTTATCGAAGATATCGATTGTTCGGTCGATCTAACCGGTCAGAGGAAGACAGATTCGGAGAATGGAAATGAAAAAGATGAAGGGAATGATGAGAATGAGAAAGATGACAAGAGTAAAGTTGTTGCTGCTTCTATGATTCAATTAAAAGCTGAAGCAAATAGGAATAAAACGAGTCAGGTAACACTTTCTGGATTGTTGAATTTCATTGATGGGATTTGGTCTGCTAGCACTGGTGAGAGATTGATTATATTTACTACTAACTATGTTGAGAAACTTGACAAAGCGTTGATTCGTCGAGGACGAATGGATATGCATATTGAGTTATCTTATTGTTGTTTTGATGGATTCAAAATGTTGGCTATGAATTATATGAGTGTTGAAACTCATCCTTTGTTCGACACGGTTAGAGGTTTGTTGGAAGAGACTAATATCACACCTGCTGATGTTGCTGAAAACTTGATGCCTAAGGTAGCTAATGAAGATGTTGAAACATCATTGGAGAGGTTGATTCGAGCACTTAGAAGCTCAATGGAAGAAGCAAAGAAGAAGGCTGAGAAAACAGAAGAAAGCACTGGTGGGTTAGAAGACAATAAAACCTTGCTTCAAGAAGAGATTGATAATGGAAAATCCTAAGCAATATTTAAGTTTACATTAGGGTCTTATTTTAGATTAATATTATGCTTCCGACTAATCCAAATTTGTACTTAATATGAAACACTATTATGATTATGCTGAATTACAAACTCAATTTGTAGTTTTAGCATAATAACAAAGTGCAAACTAGGTTGAATGTTTAGTATTATTATAATGATGATTGATATGTTGAATTATATTTTTTTTTTTGTTTGTGTTGCAATACTATTGTGCTAGTCATTAAATAAAGTGTTTTAAAATTAAAAAAACTTTGTTATGTGAGCTTTTTATCCTTTGTCCATTTGTATATTGGTTTTTATATGAGAATAGATAAATAAATAAATGACACATAAAGTAGCACAGCACCATTTTTTTATGATAAAAATCAGGTTTGATTTCATCTTATCTAGTGACTTTTCACCTTTTCTAAGGACCAAAACAAAATAGAGATGATGTAATATAAACAAGTCATGATCCATGATACCTACTCCAAATAATCTTAAATTGCTTCATTTTGTTATATGAGTATTCTAACACTGAAATAAGACTCAAATTTATTTATGAGTTGGTATTTTTATATGTTATTACAAATTAGTACACATGAATCAAAAAAGAAAAGATAAATTGGCTTCTACTGAATTTCCACCGACGTTTAAAGATATACACAATCAACTTTATATTGTATAATAGCCACATAACAACGTTCACAAAGATAACACGCGTAGACATTATCACACATCCTTAACCTTTATATAAGACAAAGCTAGAAAACACAAACATCATAAAAACAATGAAACAAAGTGACATGTTTGCTCAACTAGGATCCATAATAGCTTCCATGATGTTCTTTTGGGCTATTTTTCAACAATATTTTCCTTATCAACTAAGAAACCAAATTGAAAAATACTCACAAAAGCTTGCTACTTTGATCTACCCTTATATCCAAATCACATTTCATGAATTCACTGGTGAACAAAAGCTCATGAGAAGTGAAGCTTATTCTTCCATAGAGAATTACCTTAGCACAAAAGCATCAACACAAGCAAAGAGACTCAAAGGTGATATAGCTAAGAATAATCAATCACTTGTTCTTAGTATGGATGATCATGAAGAAGTTAGTGATGAGTTTAATGGAGTTAAACTTTGGTGGGCTAGTGGCAAAAATGTATCAAAGCCAAATTCATTTTCACTTCATCATAACATAGATGAGAAAAGGTACTATAAACTAACTTTTCATAAAGTTAATAGAGATTTGATTTTAGGTAGTTATCTTAGTTTTGTACTAAAAGAAGGTAAAGCAATTAAGGTGAAGAATAGACAAAGGAAGCTTTATACTAATAGTGGTTCTTATTGGAGTCATGTTGTGTTTGAACATCCATCAACATTTGAAACATTGGCTATGGATTTAGAGAAGAAGAAAATGATTATTGATGATCTTATTACATTTAGTAAAGCTGGTGAATTCTATGGAAGAATTGGTAGAGCATGGAAAAGAGGCTATTTGCTATATGGTCCTCCAGGGACTGGAAAATCGACGATGATCGCGGCTATGGCAAATTTGTTAGGGTATGATCTTTATGATCTTGAGTTGACTGCTGTGAAGGATAATACTGAATTGAGGAAGCTTTTGATTGAGACGTCGAGTAAATCTATAATTGTGATCGAAGATATTGATTGTTCACTTGATTTAACCGGTCAGAGGACGAAGAAAAAGGCGAAGAAGGACGAGGAGGTGGAGAGAAAAAGTGGAGTTGTTATGGAAGAAAGAGAAGGGAGAATGAGTCAAGTAACACTCTCTGGATTATTGAATTTCATTGATGGATTATGGTCAGCATGTGGTGGTGAAAGATTGATAGTTTTCACTACAAATTATGTTGAGAAATTGGATCCTGCATTGGTTAGAAAAGGTAGAATGGATAAACATATAGAGTTATCTTATTGTGGATTTGAGGCATTCAAGATGTTGGCTAAGAATTATCTTAATATTGAGTCACATTATTTGTTTGATACAATATGTGAATTGTTGGAGGAAGTTGAAATTACTCCAGCTGATGTTGCTGAGCATTTGATGCCAAAGAGTTCTTCTGGTGATGTACAAGTTTATTTGAAAAGTTTGATTCATGCACTTGAATTGGCAAAGGAAGGAGCTAAGGTGATATCAGTGGAAGATGCAAAGAAACTATGAAGCAGTCAAAAAGTTCTAGTCTTCTAGATTTCAACAATATATCTGATCATATACCGCGGAAAAACATATCAAATGCGTAAGGAGACTCTATTTAACCACAGTTTAACCGTAAAAAAAATGGTAAGACCCGTGTTATAAGCCACCTTGCACACCCTTATCACCGACTCTGTATCTGATGTGGAAGTAGTTAACATTTGTATTTCTTCAATCAATAACATCAACTATAAAGTAGTAATTTTTACAACAAAAAAATAAAATAATAAAGTAATGATTACAAACTTCATTTTCTTTTAACACATTGGTAAATCAACAACTGATTCGCGTGTGAGTTGAAGAAAAAATATCAAGGCCTCCATGTAGTTTTCTGTGCACATATGATACCCTCTTTTTCCTGGTAGAAAGTCATTCTGATCTCCCAATGCATACTTCTCAATATTTCCTGCAATGGATTTAGAATTTCAACTTTGTCGCGAATGATTGTCAACCCGCCTGGCCGTAAGATACGGTCCATCTCAACGACAATCGACACAGGCTGCTTGCACCTGCAAAATAATCGTCAAAGTAATTTGGCCACAAGTCTCACAGAAGCAATTGCAACATAAACGCTTGCATATGTGTTTGAGATCCATCATGAAAACAGATTATAACATAGGTTCATAAATTGTTTCTAGTAAATTTTCTATTGTAACAGTTGAGTCTCACTTTCTATTAGGTAAAAAGAATTCACCAATACCTGTATTTGAGGCGTGAGAACAGATGATCAGCATGCAGCAGGTCATATGTTCTAGGATAAGTACCGAACGACTCGCACCAATCGTGATAGACACCAAAAAATCCACGTTCGAAAATTATGGGAAGTGTATCCGATAAATGAATGGGTACTACATTCATCACCCAAACATTCTGTTTGGATAAAGCTGCAGCCAATCTGTATTTTCGTAAAAGAGTTATTAATTTAATTTTATTCATGTTTCTAACATGATGTGCGAAATTATTCAATGTAATCCTGTAGCATATGTATTGAATATGTGATGATCTACTAAATATAAGCAAAAAAAATACATGTATCGGGTTCATATTTGCACCAGATACATGTACTTTTTTGCTTATATTTATGTCTCAAATAGTATCAAAGAAAAATGCAGCTCGTATATTGATGCAACCAACTTAAAAACATTCGGTTTTGCTGGCATACCCTCCATAGGTGGATTTCATGTCCAATACATTCCTGATATTCGTCCAGTTAATGCCCATTCCATTAAGATATGACTTGTTAACAATCGCATTCCAGTGGTTGGTGTCTGCGATCAATTTCTCTTTATTGTTGATCCAGTCTGGATAAGTTTCGAGCCTCTTCGGCCATTCCTCCGGCCACTCTGCCCCGTGTTGTTCAATTCCAATTGGAATGGTGTGCAGACATGTCTTGATTGGAACATGCCTACTCAAAAAATGTTGTAAGATAAGCGATTACTAAATAATCTTAAGCCAATGCAAACAATAATTTTCAGCAGCATACCAGGCTGCATCAGGATTTTCGTTTTCTTTGCAAATCGGTGGGATCTTCTTCCTTCTCAATTCGTATAAGTCATTTCCTTCAGGCTTTTGATATATTCTTACTTCAACTTCACCAACATCATCGCTTTTATGTGCCAGAACATTCCAACATATAGACGCTATCGTCGCTGTCATGGCTGAAACAAAGAAGAAATGTTATGTTTCTATGTAACGATGCAAAATAATTTAAAGGTTTTCTGCTAAATGTGACCAACCTTCTTCTTCTTCAATGCTATCATGTTTAGTTGACATAATGAAGTATCCACCGGGTCGTATAATCCGATTCATCTCTACTAGAAGCTTACCCCCTGAAAAAGAAAAGGTTGGTTCATCTTCAATCTTCCATTGTATCTTAAAAATAGCAAAATTAAAGATATGGATACAAACCATTGGAATGCCAAGGTATGCGGCAACGTGAACAATGTATAGCATCAAAAACTTGACTTGGAAAAGGAAGTCTCCTTCTAGCAAAAGGGCTAACTAAGGTTGGGAAGCCGCGCTCGAGTGCCACCTGAGCTAAGTCGACTAGGTCATCTTTCAAACCAAGTGACAATGTTAAAACATCCTTATCAAGGAGAGCAGCTGCAAAGCTTGAATCTGTACATCCAATGTCGAGGACAACACGAATATTTTTACCCCACTCAATGTCTGGTACCATCTATAATTTTCAGAACGAATGTCAAGATGTTTCCAAAGATGACAGAAGCAAATATTATCGAAAAAACTATTATGTTCAAAAGGAACCAACAAACAAACATCATTCTAATAGAAAGCTCACCTCTTCAATGGACTCAAGATAGTGCTGAATCCCTCCCAAAAATTCAGTCTGGTTTTGGGGGAAAGTAAGATATTCTCCCGAATCCACCAACCAACTGTGTTTCTTAATATATGCAGATAGTTTTGGGTGCGCAACATTCTTATGCAATATCTGCACTGACGCCAAATGTTACCGTGAGATAACAAAGAAGCAGCAACGTAATACTAATAATAGTAGTAGAGTCAATCCCGGATAACGGCGCAGAGCGGCCGACCCCAAAAATGGGACAACCCTTGATCATTTTTTGGACAAATTACATGAGTAATAATTATAAACACGTCTTTAATGTTAAATCAAACAGATAACTCAAAAACTCCTAAAATATTTACAAATCAAAGCACCTGACTTAATAAAAAAACATTCAAAAACCAACAAGAAACTCTTAATCAACATCAACAAGTCTTGATCAAAATCACATCCCAAAATTCAATTTATCATATAATCAAATATCATCATCATAATTGAAGTCTTTAAAGCAACAACCCATCATCAAACAAGCCTATAAGTATTATTTCACAAGTGAAGAATCATAGACTCATAATCTAGAAACTAATTAACCCAAACAAGACCTTAAACTTAACATACTTCTGATATACCTTCAATTTACTCTGAGGCCATGGAACTGGAGACTTATACCCTTCAAGAGGAAGAGGAACCATACACATGAAGGGTATCCTTGGACAACTCCTCTCGGAATGCCGGTAACTCTGCACCTTTCCACCACCAACTTCAATATCAATGCAAGGAATGTAGTTATGCTTGCTTCTAGCATTGCACATTTTCCACCTATAGTTAACATTTGAATCAAACAAAGGTCCTTTCACTTTTCCCTTCTTTGTTTTCTTGAACTCTTCCATGTTTTCATCTTCCAACATCTCAGAATCCCCATCCACAGATTCAACTGAATCATCACTCTCGTGATCCAATTCCAATCCTTCTTCTACTTCTTCACCCTCCTCTTCTTTCTCTTTCTCCAATGACCCCTGATTCACATTCTCTTTATTATGCACGTGTTTCTTCTCACGCGCCGCTTCTTTCTTGTGAGGGCGCATGGAAGAATGAGAAGAAGGTGACCCACTAACCTTTTTCTCACCATTCTCACGAAATTTATGATCTTTCGATTCTTCCACATGATTTTGTTCATTGGGTGTTGTTTGTTTATGAACACTGGAAGAAGAAGAAGAAGAAGAAACAGGTTCTGAAATATCTTCAAAACTTTCCCTTTGAAAATTAACATCAGTAGAAGACGAAGATGAAAACACAGTCCAAACAAAAATGAAACAAAGACCCAAAATTGTTACAGCTGTCATCTTTAACCATAACCCAATTGGTCGTTTAGCTTGACGAGTTACGATGGCCATAACTCAGTGAGTCACTGTTTTGAGTTCAGCTAGCTCTTGATCTGAACATTTTAAGGTATGGTGTTATTGGTGAAATGTTGATTTCAATGTGATTGTATTGGAAAAATGAGTGAATGGAGAATTGAATTGAGAAAAAGAAAGAGGAAATGAAGGAGACAGATTGGTTGAAGTGTTGTGGTTTGGTTTGGGATAGAAGAAGAGATCTTCTTGTTTGGAGGGTTGATTCCTTTGAGGATGGATGGCAGTAGATATGTAGTCAGCATTTTCAACTTTAATGACTATTAATTTCATTAATTAAACTAGGATTATCATATTAATCTCCTAGATTTATGTCCAAGGAAACCATCATTTTTGTTCTCAAATTTATTTTATTACTTAAATTAGGGTTGAGATATTAAACTCATCTCGTCAATAAGACATGCCATACCACCTTGTCAAGAAGATTTTTAACCTAAGAAGTCGCTCCCATAGTTAAACTAAGTACTAGGAGACTTTTAATTCATACTTGTTTTTGACACTTACTTTATCAATGAGATACTACTATTCTACTCGACTATTCTCTTGTTAAGAAAACTTTTGATATAAAAGTCATTTCATTAGTTAAATCTATCGGTGTCAAGATTTTGATCTAGATATTAAAATTTTAAGATTTTACGATCTCACTCACTTTCAATAATCTCGATCTTAAGTAGAATTTTGTGTTTTAGTCAAATTATGGAGAGAAAAAAACACATCGTAAAATCATTGATTTTATGCAATATTTGTCAATTCTACACATGATTATTCGTTTTTCACTCACCGTCGTTAAGAGGTGAGAGGATGACAAAACACAAAAGAATAATAATTACAATTCAAAAGGGACAAATGTCTGGCTTTTGAAATAAAGTTTTAGATTTAGAGTTTAAATATAGGTAGAAATAGGTTAGGTTAGATTAGGCTTTATAAGGTCTGAGTCAGGCCTACGATAAACTTACAAGATTTGAGTCTGGTCTATGGCCTACTATAAGCTCATTTTTTTGGCCTGACCTTGTCTTTTTAAAAGTCTACTCTGGTCTGAAAGTCTATTTAAAAATCTGTTTCTCATTAAAATTTTCAATAAATCCATATTACTTAAGAAGCCATATAGGTCGACCTATATATATATATATATATATATATATATATATATATATATATATATATATATATATATATATATATATATATATATATATATATATATATATATATATATATATATATATATATATATATATATATATATATAT